AGGTCCAACCTCTCGGACCTCATCCACAGCCGTCCTTTCCCTGCAGTGGAAGGTCAGAGGAGGGAAGAGAGTGGCTCCTCCCAGCAGAGTTTTCCAGGCTGACTCTGACCCTCCACTGAGGACCCAGCTCTTGCGAGGCAGTCTTTTCCACAAAACCTCTCTGTCACCTGTTTCCGGGAGCCACTCCCTCCCCTAGTCCTTGCTGATCTTGGGTTAAGCACCTGCAGGCTGGTGCTAGCTCAAGGCACTGCACTATCTCAGCTGGGCTGTCTACACCAGGGGTTCTGAACTGGGAGTGATTTGGCAAGATCTGGAGACATCTGTGGTTGTCATGGCTATGGGGGTGAAAGGGTGCTGCTGGTGTCTACAGACACAGATCAGGGCTGCTGGTAAACATGATGCGGTACACAGGACAGCTCTCATATCCAGAATTATCTGGCTCCAAATGTCAATAGTGCCAAGGTTGAGAAACCCTGCTCTGCACCCTTAATAGAATCCCTTTATTAAAATCTTTTCAAGTTATCTAATTCAAATGTACCATCTGTTTCCAGCTGACTGATGTGGTGCCAAGTTTATGAAAGTTTAGACTCCCGGATTTCATAACTGTGAACAAGGGATGTGGACAGTGAGAGAAAATACAGGAGGCTATCTTGATGTTCTAGAGCAGGGAAGGACTTCTTCTTTTTTTTTTTTTTTTGTGGCGTCAGCCTAGCTCACAGCAACCTCAAACTCCTGGGCTCAGGTGATCCTCCTGCCTCAGCCTCCTGAGTAGCTGGGACTACAGGTGTTGTTTGCCACCATACCCGGCTAATTTTTTCTATTTTTAGTTGCTCAGCTAATTTCTTTCTATTTTTAGTAGAGCTAGGGTCTCACTCTTGCTCAGGCTGGTCTTAAACTTCTGACCTCAAGCGATCCTCCTACCTTGGCCTCTCAGAGTGCTAGGATTACAGGTGAGAGCCACCATGCCCAGCCAGGGAAGGATTTCTTAAGAACTTGAAAAGCAACAGAACTTTGATGAATTTGATTATATCGAAATGAAATATGTCTGTTTCACAAAGGACACATAGACAAATTCACAGATGTCGGGTTGAGAGAGGCTATTCAAAATGTCTAAAACTGACAAGGGGTTAATATCTAGAATATACAAAGAATACCTACAAATCAAAAGGGAATCTTAATTAAAAAATGGGCAAATTTTGAAGAAGAAAACCTAAAAGGTTGAGACACCTATGAAGAGATGCTCAAATTCAAATTCTCAAATAAATGCAAATTATAAAACAATGATATCACTTAACACTCATTAGAATGACAGCAATTTGAAAGTAGCATAATTCTAAGTATTTGCAGGGTTATTGGGGTGCACAGAAAGCACCCTGCTCTGTGGGGAGAGCGGAGCCAGGCGCCTCCAACGTGAAGAGCAATGTGACTGCACCATGGCACATGGAAGAGAGAATGCAGACCCCAGGACCCAGCAGTTCTTTCCCTGGATGTATCCCCAAAAGAATTCTCACAAGTCCATAAAGGAACAAGCACCAATGTTCACCGGGGTGTTGCTGGAGGAGTAAGGGGCATTGGAGGCAGGCCTGTGTCTCTCACAGAAGATGTGGGTGGGAAAATTGTGGTGGGTGCTAACCATGGAATACTCTGTGGGTGCTAGAAGCAATAGGTAAGAATTACTAGATTAGAAACAGAATGAGGTATAGTACATAAAACCATTTTTATAAATTAATAAAACCTGCACACCAAACAAACACGCACATTTTAAGAAGAATACAGAACAAGGGAAGGCACAGTGAAAACAATAGGATGGTGGTTTGTTTATGGAAGAGACGAAAATAGAAAGGGGAGTGAGATAAAAAGGAATAAATTAAAAGGAATAAATTAGTGGCTTCGTATAGTGCAAAGAGGATGTTGCACCATAAACTGAGGTGTATGCCAATCTTCTGTACCTAAAAATCAGAAACGAAAACAGAAAAGAAAAGAAAAGAAAAATAGAAGGGAGGGAGGGATGCATATGTCTTAACTTGGATTTAGTGATTTGTACTAAATCTTAACGGGAGGCACAAAACCTGCATGGATCAGGGGAAGGAAATTCTGAATACTGACTGTTAGCAAGGTCATTTGGAGCTTGTCCTCCCCTGGTAACTGCTGAATGTTGCAGAGAACATGAGGTCCAAGTCTTCTAACCCAAGGTGCCGACCTGGCTCCCAAGGCAGGAAGTAACTTCAGTTCGCAGGCAGGTGACAGTGTGTAGGGAAGTCAGGGTAGAAACAGGAAACTTGCTGGGTCTGTGACAGGAGGAGAGTATTGTTTGGCTGTGAAAAATAGAAATTCTGTCCATTTCCTCCACCCTCTTTCACCTCAACAAAAGCTATGAATCTGCGACCGCTTGCTTCGCCTGGGCTGGAGGATTCCCAGGACACAGGGCAGTCAGTGCTAAACCCCGACAGTCTGGGCTAACTGGAACAGTCCACTACCCTCACCTCAGTATCCTCATTTTTCTAGGAATAATAATAACAGTAGGTGACATTTATTTAACACATTGTGCTCATCATGTATTATGTCATTGTAATCTTCACACCAACTTAGGAGGGAGGTATTTATTTACTTATTTAATTAAATTAATTAATTAATTAATTTTTTTGAGACAATGTCTCAGAACCCCTCAATTCGAAAAATGCAAGAAGGAAGAAAAACTGTATGTATATATAAGAAAAAAATGGGACAAATTATAAGTACAAAACAGATATGAGAATGAGTCCTAACCTTAAGAATAAATTTAACCAAAAAATGTAACAAGCCTTTTAGGGATTCTAGCATATAGCTTTACTAAAAGACATTAAAGACGGGTTAAATAAATGAAGAGATGTACAGTGTTCCTGAACAGGAAGACTCGATTTTATAAAGCTATCCAGTTTCCTCAGACTTATCAACAGGAGCAATACAATTCCAACAAACTTCCCAATGTATATATGTGTATGTGTCTAACTTGATAAACTGACTCTAAAATATTGGTAAGAAATAGAAAAAAACTAAAAAGAAAAACACAAACCAATTCCAGACACTCTTGAAAAAGAAGAGCAAGGTAGGAGACTCATCGACAAGACCTGTAGACATATTTGTAAAGTTAGAATAATTAAGAAAGTATTGTATTAGCCCAGGAATAGTCAAGCAATAAATAGAACAGAGAATCCAAAAACAGATCAAACAAGTATTGATACCTGATATGACAGAGATAACATTGCAGATCAATAGGGAAACAAGGGAAAATTCAATAAAAAATAGAAAAATTGGGTTTCCATATTGAAAAATGAAATAGATCCCAAATCACAGGACACAGAAAATCAATTCTGGATGATTTAAGAACTTAAATGTGGAAGCTAAAACTTTGAAATTTTTCAAAGTAAAGGACAGAAATGTTTTGTCTTTGAAAGGAGATTGCTTGATCAAGATCCCAAAAGCACAAATCACTTAGTAAAAGCTTGACAAACGTGACTATGTCAAAATGAAGACTCTAGACCAGGTGTGGTGGCTCACACCTGTAATCCTAGCACTCTGGGAGGTGGAGGCAGGAGGATAGCTTGAGCCCAGGAGTTCAAGGCCAGCCTGAGCAAGAGCAAGAACCCTCCTCTCTACTAAAAATAGAAAAAATTAACCGTGTGTGGTGGTGCATGCCTGTAGTCTCAGCTACTCAAGAGGCTGAGAGAGGAGGATCACTTGAGCCCAGGAATTTGAGGTTGCTGTGAGCTACGCTGACACCACGGCACTCTAACCCGGGCAACAGATCGAAACTCTGTCTCCCAAAAAAAAAAAAAATTGCTATCTTGAATATGTATAGAACTAGAAATGAGTTATAAAAAGTCAAACAACTCACTAGATAAATGAACAAAAGTTGCATATTTGATTATAGACAAAAACACAATTAACTACAATTAACACACAAAAAGATGCTCGACCTCATTAGTTATCTGAAAATACAAATTAGTAATCATAGTGTGATATCCAGACTGGCCAAAAGCAAAAATAACAATTCCGACAACCTCACAGTACCAAGTATTATGAAGCAGAGAAATGAGGACTCACTCATGGCTAATGGGACTGTACATTGCTATAACTACTTAGTGAAACAATTTTGCATTATCCATCACATTGAAGATGAGTATTTCTTACATCCTAACAATTCTGATTCTGGGATATACCCTAGAGAAACTCTTGCTCATATATACAAGGAGATATGCACGGGAATGTTTACAGCTGTACCAATTGTTGTTAGGGAGAAAAGAGAACAACTCACATGTTCACTTCCAGGAAAATGGATAAATTGTGGTCTATGCAATGAAATACCATAATATATTCAACTGCAATATTTAATGAACTATAACTACATTCCTAAACATGGATAAAGCCCACAAACAGAATGTCATGTGAAAAAATAGGTTACAGCTGGGTGCAGCGGCCCGTGCCTGCAATCCTAGCACTTTGGGAGGCAAAGGCAGGAGCATCGCTTATGGCCAGAAGTTGGAGCCTAGCCTTGGCAACCTAGCAAGACCCTGTCTCTACAAAAATTTTTTTTTTTATTAAATTAGCTGGGCATGGTGACATACGCCTGTAGTCCCAGCTACTTGGGAGGCTGAGGCAGGAGGATTGCTTCAGCCCAGGAGTCCAGGTTACAGTGAGCTATGATCACTCCACTGTACTCTAGCCTGGGTGACAGAGCAAGACCCTGTCTCAAAAAAAAAAAAAGAAAAGAAAAGAAAAGAAAAAATAAGTTACAGAAGAATACCCATGATATGATTCCATTTATGTAAAGATTCAAAAGTATGCAAAACTAAAGCAATTGGTCAAATAATCCTTAACCGCATAATTTGTACTTTGTAATATCTGGTAGTTGCATGGTTGGTTAAGCTTCAGGCTAACAGAAAATTAAGCATTAACTATGGGGCCAGGTTAAAAAACATCTGCAAAATCAAAACGTTTAAAATTCATCTATTACATTTTAGTAAATATCCATGTAGGAAATTAGGTTATTTTTGGCCATCTTTAAAATGCCATTGGTGAATCGTACTTTATCCTAAATTCCTGCACTTCCTCAGGCCATCTGAGCATGAAATACTGTCACCTACCCACACCCGCTGCCTGTAACACTTGTCACAGTGTTATCTGTCCGACGCATGCCTAGACCACCAAAGCACTCGGACTGAACAGTGTCACTGGAGAAGGCTGAGCGACATGTCCAGGGCACAGATCCCGGCTCTGGTGTTTGGTGTGGGAGGATTTGGAGCTCTCGTAGCTGCCACGGTGTCCAATGAGTGGAAAGTAACCACCCGCGCATCCTCGGTGGTAACTGCCACTTGGGTCTACCAGGGTCTGTGGATGAACTGCGCAGGTAACGCGTTGGGTTCTTTCCATTGCCGACCGCATTTTACTATCTTCAAAGTAGAAGGTAAATATAATAGCTTTGTTGGGGGTGGAAGTAAAATGCTACTTTTTCCTCCAGCTTCACTGAGGTCTCTGTCTACAGCTGGCTGTTAACTCTGCGAAGACTGAGTGCTGAATCAAAATGCCAAGATTTGCCTGGGATGGATGGGTGTATGCGTATTGGCTGAAAAAAATTAAATCATTAATTTTATTTGAAAAAGGATATTTAAGAACAACCTTACGAGTCTTTTAGAAATACCCAATGCAAATAACAGATTCCAAAGGAAAGAGTGGAAGTGGCTGGACTGTTTGAAAAGTCTGTTTCAATTTGCCTTGGGTCATGGAGGAATCTTGATGTGTCGTCTACCCTATGTTGGAAGAGCTCTCATTGGTATAAACTCCTCTCCCCACCCCCGTGTGTGTGTGTGTGTGTGTGTGTGTGTGTGTAAATCATAATTTGTTCTAAATTCCTGATAAGGGAAGGAATTCTATTTTCAGAGGACTTTCCCTCTTTCTTTTAAAATCAAGGTTAGCGATAACATAACAGAGCAAGAAAATTGTAAAAGTAAAGTGAAAGAAAATGCCATGAACTTTTCCTTTTGGTTGCTTGGTTTTATTTATTTTAAAAATATGTGGGGCAAGCTTTCATCTTTGTGTGTATTAGAAACTCTGTTACAAGTATATGTGTCTTAAACATTTAAAAAAAAAGAGACATTTTCATACCTCAGGATACCTCTAGGGGAACAATTGTTATTTGCTCCTATGTCATTATGAGAATCACTGTCTGCCCTTGCTTTGTGCAAATTTTTTTTTTTTTACAAAGTAAAAATGAGGTTTATTCAGAAACTATAGAAAGTTAGAAAGTCTATTCCACAGACAGAGCAGAGGAAGTTCTCTGTGCAGAAGAGAACCAGCCCTGCAAATCTGGTACATTTATAAATATGCCACAAGTTGTGGGTTTATTATGTTAAAAATTGCCCCTGTTTTTCTTTGTAAGATATAGACTTTTCATAATCACAGGGTAAAACTGTACCTTGGCCCCAGTAAAGAAAATGAAATAAAATTTTAACTAGGAAGTTACTAAAACATAATGTTTTATGGGACTTTGTGTCAAGTATGCACATCATTAGTCTACAGGGAGTGCCAAGGAATAAAGGCAGAATACTTAATTAAAGCCAGGGGATTTTCTAATGAGCATCAACAGAAGCGTTCAAGCTTGGATACCTCAGTGAGGCCCTCAAACAACATGTGCTTTCCTAAGTGCCTATTCGAGGTATCAGTGCTATGTCTCTCCTCAGTCCCACCTTCTGAACTGATTTTGAGGTATTTCGAAATCATTCCTTCTACTATAGAAAATTTCCCTAGAAACAGGGAAAGTTTTTAAAGGAAAAGAAGAGTGTTTGTGGAGACTGTTGTCATTCTGCACCTGTTGTGGTCGCTCTTCCCCCATGGGCCCCTCTTGGCCCATTCCCACCTTGGGCAG